TGTTCCTGCCCTGCAATAGGGCAGCAGCAGGTTCCCTCCAGGCTGTTCCTGCCCTGCAATAGGGCAGCAGCAGGTTCCCTCCAGGCTGTTCCTGCCCTGCAATAGGGCAGCAGCAGGTTCCCTCCAGGCTGTTCCTGCCCTGCAATAGGACAGCAGCACCTCCAGGCTGTTCCTGCCCTGCAATAGGGCAGCAGCAGGTTCCCTCCAGGCTGTTTCAGACAGAGCTGGGCTGTGGGTCTCTGGAGTGTTTCCTTGCTGAAGGCACCTGGAGGTGTCTCAGGACGCTCCTTGGTGCTGTGAAGGACAATGGTAGGGCTGAAAGGTGCTGTACCCTTATGGCAGGGAGGGCTCCTGGTCTGGAGGCATTCCCTGAGCTGTTCCAGCTGCTGCTTCTATGGACAGGGAGGAATTTGCTGTTCCATTGCTGGGGGATGGAGGGAATGAACAATTTACTTCAGAGCTTTGGGCACCTTTTTGCAACCAGATTCCTTTGAACTAACGTTGTGAAACGCATCAAACCTGCAGCTGCATGAGGCCTTGTTTTTCCTTGGGTTAACTGCTAGAGTTAGTCTCATGTTTGCTGCTTGGTCTCAGTAGTGTGGAGACAAACTCCTCTGTGTCTTTGTTCCAGGCAATCTGGGAGAACCAGTTCTATTACCTTTTTGGCTTTCTCTTCCTGGTGTTTATAATCCTGGTGGTATCCTGCTCCCAGATCAGCATTGTCATGGTGTACTTCCAGCTCTGTGCTGAGGTGAGAGCTCCGTGGTTGTAGGTTCAGTTGCTCAGCTCACGTTAGTGCTGCTGCTCCATAGGAAGCTGGTGCAGCGCGGCCTCCTAAGGGGGGTTGTTGTTAACACCTCTGGATTTCAAGGGGAATTGAAGCTACCTGCTACCTGCTAGGCTGGAAACTGTGCCTTCACCCCAGGAATTCTGCTGGGCTGGGGTGTTTTGAGCTGACATCTCTTCCCAAAGGAACTGTTTTATTCCCCTCACATAGTAATGAAAGGCATGGGCACAAGTGAGCAGTGTTCCTCAGTAGCTGTGATCTTCCCTGCTAGCTTTCTGTCCTCTCTGTTTGGAAACACTCCTGTGCCACAGTAGCTCCCCAGCCCCAAACTGGGTTTCCTTTGAGTCATGGAATCATAGAATGGTTTGGGTTGGGGGGGGTTAAAGCTCCTCCAGCTCCAACCCCTGCCATGGGCAGGGACACCTTCCACTGGAGCAGCTTGCTCCAAGCCCCGTCCGACCTGGCCTTGAAGGCAATGGGTGTTCTCCCTGCCTCAGAAAGGTCCCAGCTCCCTGGGGCAGTGGCCCAGAAGGCAGCCTGAGGGGTAATGATGCTTTCTGCCCTGTCAGGATTACCGCTGGTGGTGGAGAACCTTCCTGGTGTCTGGAGGCTCTGCCTTCTACGTGCTCATCTATGCGGTCTTCTACTTTGTGAACAAGGTATTGTCCTTCCCCTTGTGTGAAAGTGCCCCCTTTCTAGAGGAGACTGCTGGATTTGGGAAGGGACAGAGGCCTTGCAGAGGGGGGAGAGGGTTGTAGTGCCTGTGGGTGTTCCCAATCCCTGCCTTGAGGGAATCTCTTTTCAGTTCCCATCAAAGTGGAGGGATTCCTCCCGTTGTCCCCTTGCAGAGGGCACTGCCTGGTTTGGGGAGAGAACTCCTGTTACCTCTGCTTGATTTTGCCTCTTTCTCCCTCTTGTTTTAGCTGGATATTGTTGAGTTCATTCCCTCCCTGCTATACTTCGGCTACACCGCCCTCATGGTCCTGTCCTTCTGGCTCCTCACTGGCACCATTGGCTTCTATGCAGCCTACATGTTTGTCCGGAAGATCTACGCCGCAGTGAAAATAGACTGAAGGTGCAGAGACCCAGCAGGAAGCAGACACCTGAACGCGTGTCCTGGGAGCCAAGGGGACAGCTTCTCCCAGCTCTTTTAAGGAAACAAAATCCCATGGGAGAGTGACAAGAGAAATAAATAACTCCTCGGTTTTGGAATGTAACTTTGGCACAGTGTACATGGATTCCGGGCTACTTCTGGGGGGAAGAGGGGTCTGTAGATACCTTACATTTTAACTTTATTATCCTGTTCCATATTTGAGGGAGTTTTTTAGCAGAGAAATATCCCTCTGTATAAGTAAACCCTTTTTTTGCTAATTCATCCTTTTTATGTTGATGACGAATGGATTTGGGACAGCAATGGAAACACTTGTGAAGCCGTTTTCTTCCAGCCCCATGGGTGCTCTAGGATTCAGGGAGACTCTTCAGACAAACACCAGACTGGGTTTCTTTTCCTGCCTTTGTGTCTGCACAGAAGAGGGAGCTTGACTATGGCAAAACCCAAGGAGCCTGAAGGCTCCAGAGCCAGGCCTTTGGCTTGTTTACAATTCAGTGGAGGTGCCATTTGGAGCCTGGGAAGTGCAATTTCACCCTGGGAGCACCTGGGAACTGCAGCCTTCAGCATCACTTTTCCCTCCCTCCAGCCTGGGCCGGCACAGGCCACTTTGGATGCTCCACTGCTGGGATTCCCCTCGCTCGGGCGGCGCAGCCACTGCAGCAGGATGGAAGCGCCGTGGTTGTGCTGGTGCTGGAGCCCAGGACTGGGAGGAAGCACGAGGTAACTACAAGGGTTTGTTCTGTCCATGGCTCTGCTCCGGGACGTTTCCTCCCTGGGAGCCCCTGCAGAGCCTTGCTGAGACACGGCTGCACCGCTGCTGTCACGTCAGTGCCAAGCAATGATGCAGTATTGGGCCTGAGGTGTGTGCAGGGATGGGCCCCAGGAGCACTCCCATGGCCAGGGGTGGGCTGGCTCCCTGCCTGCCCTTGCTGCTCCCTCCTCCTCCTCTTAGATTCTCTACCTCCAGGGAACAGAACGCGGGCTCCCCTCAGCTGTACTTTGTCCCTCTCCACAAGCGGTGCAGGGCTCGGGATGGCCGGTGTGGGTTCTGCTGGGCTCTCCTGCAGCTCCTCTCTTCCCGTGGCTCCGTGCCCGAACCAGTCCATGGGAAGCTCTTTCTGAAAGAGGTGGAAGGTGGTTTGTGTTATTTTGGTCACGTAAATGCTCTTTACTTGTGAAAGGTCCCAGGTCACAGCAAAGGCTCCCTCCAGCCCCGAGCAGCCGGTTCACTCCATGCTGCAGGGGAGGTGTAGTGACATCTATGAACACTGTGCTCCTTGCTGTTGTGAGCCAGCCAGGTGACACCCAACCAGAGCTGTCCTGAGCCCCCTGTTCCCAGCCCTCATGTGCCCCAGTGAGGGCTCAGGGGCTTTTTGAACCCATTACCAGAAGGTTCCACCAGGTCCCCTCAGGGACCCATCTCTCACTGCTGGGGAGCCAAGTCCTTGGCACCAACCCCTTCAGCCTTCCCTGGTGGCTTCTTTGGCCTCTGTCATGCCAAAGCCTAATCCACCAGGAAGCAAGGATGGGAAGAGGGAGCAGGGGATGCCTGAGCCAACTGTGCTGTGGAGTCTGTGTCGGTTCTGATTTGAGGTCCCTCTCTAGCTTTTGGTTGATTTTCCTTTCCCCTTTTTCCGCCCTGCCCCAGTGGAGGGGCTCTGCAAGCAGTGATTTCATTTCTCTCCCTTCCCCAAAGTGTTTTCTCTGTATTCTTTGTAATTTTTAATTAATGTATGTATTCTCTGTGTCCTATTGTAAATAAATCTGCCATTGTCCTGTTGTCCTGCTCTGCCTTCTCCTAAACCACCTCTGGGGATTGTGTTTTCAGCAGCACCCGCGTGGTCTTTGACGTGTGGCTTCAGCAGCAGCAGAGCCTGCAGCGAGCCTGCTTCTCTCTCTGACATTCTTCATCCTGGTGAACTCGGCTGGGCTCGAGGCCTCTCCTGATGTGGCACATCCTGTGTGCTGCTGGCCACCTGATCAAGCACTCGGACCTGTGTCTCGCTGGGCTGCTCTCGTGGGCTGCCTGTGGGACTGCAGTGACTCGTCCCCCATGTGTGAAGTGTGTTTGACTCATGTAGTGCCAGTGGGGGAGCAGCTGGGTTGGGACAGCAACAGGCTGGTGGTGCTGAGCAGATGGAGGTGAGAGTAGGGGTAGGATGGGAGCCGGAGCATTCTGCAGGTGTGCTGGTGCTGTGGGAGCTGGATCTTCAGTGTTGGCTTCCAGCTTGACCCCTTTCCCAGAGCCTGTGTGTTGCTGCTGGGGCTGGGGGTGGCAAGTACCTGAATGAAAGCTCAGCAGTCACTGGAAGGGTCTGCAGGGGAGATGCTGCCACATGGCCGGTAACCCCCGTGAGCCCCAGTAACCACAGCTTTCTGTCTACCAAATGTTGCTCTCCCTGACTGGAGGTGACGGTCTCTGCTCTCCCTGTGTCCCCAGCAGGGCACTGAGTCTGGTTTTGGGTCTAATTCTTTGCTTGAAAAAAACTTAATGTCTGGATTCATGGAGGCACCTGAACCTTGGCATCAGGATTCTGTCTACTTCAAACCAACCCTTCAGGGCACAGCAGGAGCCTCGTGGCTCCATCCCCTCGTGCACACATGCACCCCCCCCAGCAGCTTTCCTGGCTGCACTGCAGCAGCTTCCTGCTGTGTCTTACCCCCAGCCCCACTGGCAGGTGCTTGTCTCAGCTGACTCCTCTCGGTTCTCCTCATGGCTCGGGATGTATTTCCTAATGGACACTTGGAACGTGCTTCCTGATGGACACAGTCCCAAGCAGAGCTGAGATGCTCAAAGTATTTTCTATGAGCAGGTAAGAGCTCACTGACCAGCCTCAGGAAATCAGCTGTGAATTGTGTATTTGGTGCTTCCAATGGGAGCAGCCTCAATAGCTCCAGACCTGCTGACAAGACACTTACAGGTTATAAACTGCTGTGGAGTGGGCACTTGGAATCCACTTCCCAGCCTGAACACTTAGCATTAGCTCCAGTGTGCTGCCTCCAGACATGCTGCTCCCTTTGCTGGCCTGGCCCTTCCCTGCACTGACCCCTTGGTGCAGTTCTGATGCTGGAATAGCTGGGAAAGCAAATCACACGTGCAAATAATAGCAAAATGAAATCCGTTTATTCTTTGACAGACTACTGGGAGGAAAAAGCTGCCTGGCTCTAATTCAGCTACCTCTGCTAAAGGAATTCCAGTGCTGACATCTGTCAGGTACAATGCAGGCAGCAAGCAAGCGGGCTGGATGTTCCGGACACAGGGGAAGGTGTGTGGTGGCATTGCATAAATCTGGGACTCCTCCCTTGCAGGAAGGGATCAGTTCTCATCATTTATTACTTTACAAAAGAAAACTACTACTCATCCTCTCACCTGGAGGCAGGCAGAAGGTTTGCATATACCTGGGACCAGTGTGGGACTCTTCACTTTGCAAAGAGAAAAGCAACAGGAGACAGGCCTGAGGTATTCAGTGGTGGTAAACAGAAGACTGGCTGAAATGCCCCATTTACCTTTTCTGTTAGAGAACAAGAAGGCACTCGTTGAACTTCAAAGGCAACGTTTTCCAGTGGAGAGAAGGAAGTACTGCATTTAACTCGGGGGATCATTGCCACAGGATATTGCTGAGGTAAATAAATCTTATATTACATTTTGATACAAAAGTAGTATTTGCAGCATTGCTGGCTAAGCTAACGCACCTGCTGGAGGGCCGGAGATCAGTGGATCACTAAAGAGTCATTCTGGGAACAGTTACTAAGCTAAATTCAAAAGAACATTCTGGAGCAGAAGGGGAGAAGCCAAGGGGCAGTCGAGGCACGGCCAACGTCCCCCTGAGGGCTCGGTGGCAGGGAGAAGGGGTGTTCTCTGGGGAGGGCAGCATCAGCTTCACCTGAGGAGCTGAGAGACACAGTAGAGGTAGATTCTGCATTTTCTACATTTATAGAGAACAATATTGACCAATTTCCTGGTTTGTGTTGGCCTGCAATGGTTCCTCCACGCCGAGGTGTGAAGATTTGCACTAATACATAGTGGGATCGACCTGTGTGTGTTACCATCTGCAGGAACAGTGCCCAGGGAAATGAGAGCAGGAGATGATGCTGAACGGCACCAGCAGTGGGGCTGGCACTTCCCAGTGTAAGTCTTGGCAGTAGGCAGGCTGTGGGAGAAGGTATGAGGAGGGGCAGGGAGCAGGGCTTTAACTTCAGGAGGCAAGGCTGGGGAGGGAGAGAACAAAAGGCTGATGGAACCAAATCCTAAGTGAGAGGGTGGCTGACTGCAGCCCAAACCCTCAGCCTTTGTTAGAGTGTTAGTGTTGGGGAGGATGCTTCAAATACACTGACAGAGCGTATGTGAAGTTGGGACCAATTTTTCCTCCTGATTCCTGGACGTTATCACCCTGGGACTGAGGTAAATCACACCTCGAGACGGCTTCATGGATAAGCCAAAAGGGGTCTGACCTCACTGAACTGCTGTGGTAAAAAGCCCACGTAGAAACTCCTCCTCTGCTATTCCTCTTGTGGGTCCCTGCGGCTCAGGGCCCTGCAGCCTGTTCTCACTGACAGTACTCAATGCCCCCAGCTTTCCCCCCCCCAAGCTTTGGTTTCCAGAACAGATGCACCATCTGTCTGCCTGTGGGAGGGGTTTCAAGGGCTCTACCCACACCCCACACGAACAAGCTCAGCTGCGAGCGCTGCTCCATCCCCTCGAGATGTGGACAGCCAGAGGGACACGCGGGAAGCGGCGGCGCAGGGGCTGCAGTGGTCCAGAAGCAGAGGGTTTCCCCATGGGGGAAGAACATGAGCAGTGAAGAGAAATCAGTGCAACCTGACTTGGTCGTGTAAACAGTGTTCGAGTTCCACCAGGGATAATCCTGGTGTATTCTGGTGCCTCCTATTTCTGTCATGGCAGGAAGAGATCTGAGTTGTGTAAACAATGGCGCTGTGCTGAGTTTAACCTAAGGGCTCCGTGGAGGAGAATGAGGTGACGGCTCTGAAGTCACCATGTAAACGGTCTCGTTGCTTAACACTGATGTGGACTAAGCGGCGCTGGGTGGAGTAAGCTGTTAGGTGATGGGTGAGAGGTAGAGGGGAAGGTCGGCCTCTTCCCCATGGCTTCATACAGGGCGGGTATCCTGGCTTCTCCTCCTCCATGTGGAGGTGCCGGCTCTTGGGCCAGAACTGCAGTGTGGGAACATGAAATGGAAGCTGGACTCTTCAGACGTTTAGCCCATGATGAAAGAGTCTCAACTCCTTCTCAGGGACAGTCCCTTCCCCAGGAGGAACACGGGCAGCTCCGGGGGCTAGGGGAAGGTCAGTGCTAAGCGCGGCTCCTGATTCACAGATTAACATTACATCAAATAGATCCAGTCTCTGAGCTGAAATCTCACTGTACAGGACTGGGACTCGCAGGGGGGTATCTCCTGTTCCAGTCTACAAGTGCTCCCTCCAGAGATCAGAAGCCTCCCGCTGAAAACAGCTTTGCCAAGCTTTCACACTCCAAAGGGGAGTAAGAGTTGTGCGTTTTTAAGGCTCTCCGCTGAAGGGTGACTGAAAGATCTGTTCTCCAGTGCTGTTTCCAGCTTATTGGAATGCCTGGTGGAAACGTGGCAGCGTGGTTGTGCTCAAGCTGGAGGTGAAGACAGGGGGCAGTGAATGAAGAGGCCCAAAGTTCAGTGAGGCCCCAGCTCCGGGAGATTCTTGAGGTTGGTGTTGCAAAGTGGTAAGCAGTGGCTGTGTCTCCCCCTGTGAGTAGCCCATGACCAATCCCCCTGAGGACACAGGTGGATTGCAAGGAGGAAGATTTAAGGGGAGGAAGCCGAGAAGATGAGAGAAGTCCATGTTAGCAGCACAGAGAGCCTCTGAAAGGTTCGCAGGGCTCTTGGAAAGCAAAGCCTCATCCAGAGGGGGTGGCTGAGGCGAAGAGGACTGAGGCTCACCAGATGAGAGAGACAGGCTGCCAGGGAAGTCTGACAAGAAGCTGTCCACCTCTACTTTGGGTAGTTTCTCAGGCAAATATGAGGTAGATCCAAGCTGATACTTTGGAGGAGGTTGCGGTGGGGAAGCGATGGGGGAAGACGACTCAAGAGGATAGCTCACTCCCATTGGAAGAGAGTTAGGAACCAAAGAATGGGGCATCCCTGAGCTCGGCACGGTTTGGAGATGAGTGCTGTACATGCCCACGGGCAGCATGCCCGGGAAGCTCTTACCACCTATCATGTCTCTGGATGCCATGCACAGGACAGGACTCAGCTCCTCCTTCACTGCAACAGAGGAGCTACAGCTCAGGAGACCCAACATGTCAACTGGCTCCGTCTTAATCTTCAGCAGTTCCTGGGAGTGGCTTTTCTTCATGTGCCTGGTGAGATGATCCTTCCTGCCAAACCTCTGGGCACAGTACTGGCACAAGAAGTCCTTCCGCCCCGTGTGCACCACCAAGTGCCTCCGCACGTCCTTGCGGGTGTAGAAGCGCCTGTCACAGTGGTCACACGGATGCTTCTTCTCCTTGGCTCCACCAGAAGCCCGCCTCGAATGCGCCTTGAGGTGCTCCAGCAGGACCTGGGTGCTCTCAAAGGTCTGGAGGCACACCTTGCAGCTGAGGTCCCCGCTGGCCGCCGCGTGCATGGCCAGGTGCCGCCTGAAGCCCAGCTTGGTGTTGTAGTTCTTGCCGCACTCGGGGCAGTGAAGAGCCTCCTTGTTGGGGTCGTGGGTCTGGAGGTGGTTCCGGAGGTGATCCTTCCGGTGAAACATCTTCTCGCAGTACATGCACTGATGGGGCTTCTGAGCAGAGTGCGTGGCCATGTGCCTTTGGGGGGAAAAGCAGGAAAGTTCAGGGCAGTGTCTGGCCCCCAAGAGAACCCGTGCTGCTTCCTCAACACAGTACCTTGTCCTCTACCCAAATCCCAAACTGCTGGCACCCAACACTGCACAGACACAGAACACTGCAAGGAAGTTACAGAGCCCCCCCAGCACGCATCTCCTCCACACACAGACACTTCAGTCACCTGCTCAGCCCCAGTTCTCCCCGCTGAGGCTGTCAAAGGGGGAAGGACAAAGGAGAACCGGGGAGTTTATGACAAGAATCCTCATCTGCTGCCGAGGCAGCCTCATGTCACCAGGAGGCATCAGACTGGTGATGCCTGCGTCCACAGCCACTGGGGGCTGGTTTTACTTTGGTATCTTGCCCTCTCTGACACTGTGGTTCATCTAGTTTCAAGTTCCTCATGATCACACAGTTGAATTATTCTACACTGTATTTCAGTACAGAAATGAGAACTCTACTCTTCATGCTAGAATAACAGCTGCCCCAGAAATATTCCTGCCATTAAAGGCAGAGCTTATGAAAGTGCTGTTCTTGCTTTTCATCTTGTTTTTAATCTGTGCACTTCACTTCTGAAAACTTCACTTTCTGCTTCAGTTTCCTCCTTAGTAAAACAGAAAACAGCTTGAGCTCAGGATAAAGTATTATCTGAGGTTCTCAGGAAGGCACTTAGAGAAATGCCAAGTGCAGTAACGTCTGGGACTCGGCTGCTTCTCAAGGTAACCAGGGCATTCCCCCTCCTCCTCCTTCTCAGAAATTCAAGCAAAGCCCATGATGGGGGGTTTTCCCCTGCTCTGGCAGGGCAGCACAGTTCAGAGAGGCACCCAGCAGTCACCTACCTATAGAGCTTGTACTTGGACGCAAAGGCTTTGCCACAGTGCAGCTGCGGGCAGTTGTACGGCCTCTGCTCGCTGTGAGGAAGCGTGTGAGTTCTCAGCTTGTCCACGGTCGTGAAGGAGGCCTCTGATATTTCACATTGGCATTTTCCCTGACTCTCCGGCTCTTCACCTCTTGGTCTGGGGACTAATTTCCAGCCTGTCTCTTCCTCCTCCTGCTTTGCATCTTGAATCCAGTTGGGAACACTGGGAAAAAATGCCGTCATGGCAGGTCTAGTAGAACATGGCCATGTCCAGCAGAACTCGAGCCTGCGGGTGTCTTGCTGTGATGTTGTCCCAGTGCAGTTTCCTGTTGGATACCTCTGTGACCAAACTCTTTTAATAGCAAAACATCTCCACCTGAAATCACAGAAGGGCTGGTGATAAGACTCTGCCTCCTTCACCCCTGCACACAAACAGGGGTGAGCATTCAGCAAGCACTATAAACGTGTGGAGAAGTGTGTTCAGAGGCACAGCAACTCCCATCCCCTGAAAGCCTTTAGCTCTTTTTTCCCTTAACCTGTTACCTGAATAAATGATGTTAAACCTTTTCTGAATTACATTTCTGCAACCATTAAGAGCCAGTGTTACCTGTTACGTGCATCTCCTCCTGAAATGTTCCAGATGGGTGTCTCTTTACAGCTCTAAATACCTCACCTTCCCCTCCTGTCTTTTGTGGATTGCTTCTCATTCCCTTTTTCATATTCACGAGTCTATTCTTATTTGTTCTTTATCTTTCCTTACATGGAATTTCCTTCTAGAGCTTCTCAGAGAAACCATGGTTCTCTTGTATGGGTTTTTTCCCACCCACTCTTCTACCAGCCCGACGCACTGGTGAGACCATCTCTTAGCAAGCCAATCTGACTTACCACACGTGTGTCAGCGGGGCTGGGGAAGAAAACTTGCTGTTATCAGCAACTCTGCACCTCTTTCAGGAAGGCAACAGATGCTGCTTCTCTCCAGGGTGTGATTAGTCATTCTAGTCTCACTTGTCTGCTGTGGGGCAGAGCCTGCCTCTCTGCATTACAGTTTTCTACAGTAATGAGCTGTTGCTAATGGAAGCTCAAATTGTTTCCTCTTCAACAGCACCCACCCCCTGTACCCTCTGCTGATGAAAGTCTACATTAATCTCTCTTAGCAGTTGAGCTGTGTTTGCCTTGTTGGTAAAGTACTGCAGTTCTAAAGGGTCCTACCAACAGCTAACCTGGTAACCTCAGAGAAGAGCTCTGCCACTGAACCTAGCAGCCCGAGAAGCTCATCTTAAAATAGCATCAAACCCTCGAGCTCTGTCTCACTCCATGATTGCTTCAGAGGGAGGAACTTCCTGCCTGCACGGCAGCACGAGTGCCAGTTGTGGGCAGGATGTGCAACTGCGAGGGAACAAACCGACCCTGGTAGGAACCTGCACCACTGAACATTGTGAGGAGCTGAAACGACAATGACTGCCACTGCACCATCCCTCGCAGTGCTGGAAGGGGTTCACTCGAGATGGAAACATGGGAAAGGGGATGACCCTGAGAAAAAGCATCACTATGAGGTTTGGAAATACCCATTCAGAACAGAATTGGGTACAACCCCGTGTGATGGGATGGGACTCCTGCCCCTCAGGTGCAGGAGTGTTGTGGCTCAAAGCAGTCTTCTTCTGTAGGCATCTACAACTGTGAATGTCACCTGTGTACAAGATGTGTGTTGGAAGAGATAACTGTTCTCTACCTCCTGCTTCAGAGCTGCACACGTGTTCCAGGAGCCTCTGCTGCCTTCACCAGGTAGTTGCTGCTTCCTCTCTGAAAGAGCCCAGCCATCTGTGCCAGCTTCAGAGCTACCTGGAAGAAGGCAAGAGTTTGAGTTTTGCTGTCTTGAATAGTGAGATGCATAAGCCAACACCTTCAGAGCACAAACCCAAACACAAATGAGTTCAGATATGGTAATCTGTAACTGTTGTAAAGTTTTCTCATCTTCCCTGTAAAATTGTAAGGGTCTAGCAACACAAAGGACTTTCTCTACCCATTTAAGATCCTTTCTAAGTCTAAATGCATGTCCTAGGACACCCTGACAACTCTGGAGTTCGAAAACCAAGGTGAGGGTCTTGCATCCTATCAGTGGCATAGAGTAGCTGTGGAAGGTTAACAATGTGATTCACGCTTGGCTGGAAATCTCTCCGCCTGAGCTGCATAGCCATATTTGTAAGAAACTCCACTTGTTTCCTTAGTAGTAACCTTTCCCCAAAGAATGTTTCCAATGTGCTCCTGTTCACTGGAACTCTGTAGCCACCAGAGAGGAACAATCACCAACATTTCACCCCCAAGTGTTCAAAGAACATCTTGTACCTGATGAGGCTGCTACCATGAAACAATTCAATCCACCTCGATCTGTCTGCATTCCCAGGGGCTGCCCAATTACATGAAATGTTTCATTACTACAGTCATCAGGGCTGTGCACATTGCAGCTACAAGAGCTTGTATAGGCTGCTGGATTGTATGGGTGAGATTCCAGTCACTTGTCATTGCACAGAAGGCAATGAGGTTACTGTGCTGGTACTTGGTGCAGGAAAGCTCTCAGGTTCCAAAGCAAGTCCCTGGCACTGAGTCCTGCTTTGGCAGCTTGTCCCACAGTGTGGGTCAATGATAGAGCACTTCTGCACAGCTCCTGCCCTTGGAGTCACAGGGCAGCATTCCTCAGCTGTGGGGAAAACCTGGTGACCCAGGCTGGAACCAGAGCAGGGGACTGCCAGGTTAAAAATAACCAGGGGGAAAACTACAAAGGAGCCTGGATGAGTTCCTGAGCAAAGCGGGAACGGCAGCAGCGGGCGGCAGGGACATGGCCTGGCAGAGATCCTGCCCAGCCCCAGCATCACGGAGCTGTGGTTTCCCTTTCCCAAAGGGATCTCTTGTGCCTGACTTGGATTTGGCTGCCCCAGCTTCTACCTGCTGCGTCCTGCAGTCCCTTTGCCAGGAGCTGCTCCAGTGCTGTCACTTTCCTTCCTGCAGGGACAGAGTCTTGGCCTCAGCCAAGCCTCAGCCCTCACTCCTGCTTCTGCTCTGCATTGGTCCCACTGTTCTCCAGCTGCACGACCGTGGCTGAAGGAACCCACCCAGCTGAAAAGTTACTTCTTCTTCAGTTTTTCCTCCCCCAGGCAGGCCAGTGCCCCCGCAGGTTTGTTAGGCTTATTTTAAGTTGTTCAAGCAGCAACTTGCTCAAGTAGAAGGTACCAGCTCCAAGGCAGAGAGCAGAGCTTCAGACCCTGTCTCACCGCCACCCCAGCTTCTGCAGCGGTCCCAGATGTGGGCAGCACAGGCTCCCTCATTCCTTACTGACATTACACACTGGCCAGTGACCACAGCACCTTCAGCCGCTGCAGCAGCAGCCCTTGGAGCAGCTCTTTCAAAGCTGCATTAACAAAACCACCCCTACTTTCCGGCAGGGAATTCTGACTGAGTCCAGCCCTAACCCGTGACATCAAGGCTCTGCTTCCACACCTCGGGTCACTTGGTGGCTTTTCTGCATCTTCTGTCATCTTTCAATGTGATTTCTTTCAGTTATAAGGGAGGGAAGCGGACACCAGACCCAGGCACAGCACCAGCCTGGCCAATCCACACCTGATGGCAAACGCACTCTCCCACCACTCTGCACTTCTCGCAATGACCCTTTTATTACAGTTTCCCTACAGGCTCAAACACCGACTCACCCGTTGTTACTATTCCCTGATTTTCCCTACTAACCCCATTATTGACCTGGTGAGCTGCTCGAGCCCCGGTATCAGTTCCCACCACTCGAGCACTTACAGATACAGGGCAAACTGTGTAAAACGTGTGTTTACTCGCACATCCCCGGTACCTTCCCCACCGGTGTAACCGGTCGCAGCGGCCCCGCGGGGCCACTTCGGCACCTGACCGAGCTCCGCTTTCACCCTCCGCTTCCCTGACACGGCAGCAGCCCCGAGCCCTTCCCGCAGCCCGGGCAGCGCCGCACACACCGGCACGGCTCGGGGCCGTTCATCTGCGCTACAAAAACCCGCTTTTCCCACCCGCTCAGCCCCGAAGCGCCTGCAAAGGCTCCAGCACAGAGCGCGGTCGTGCCGTGTGCACCGGGGGGGGGCAACGGGAGCTCCCTCCGCCCCGGTGCCCCCCCTCCCGTTACCATGGCGCAGCCCTGAGGGGAGGGAGGGGAGAGGCGGGCCTGGCCTACGCCCCCCGCCACCTCCTCCTCCTCCTCCTCCTCCTCCTCCTCCTCCTCCCCACAGGCCGCCCTCTCCCTGCGGGGTCCCCGCTGGCGCGGGCCGGGGCCGCCGTGACGCCGCCCCCCGCACACCCCCCCCGCACTCACCCCGTTCCCCCGGGCCCCGCCAGGCGCGGCTCCGGCCCAGGCCCTGGCGGCCCCATTGTGCGGGGCATTGTGGGAGTGACGTCGCTCTCCCGCTTCCGCCTCGATGGCGGCCGCGGCGCGCTAGAGGGGCCGTTCCGGCGGGCCCCGGGGCATGCCGGGACGGGGCCGCCCCTCGCTGGCCTCCGCCGGGCAGTCATGGCGGCGTTGCCGGTCGTTCTCCTCATCCTCCTCCTCCTCCCGGCGGTGATGGCGGCGGAGGGGGGCGGCGCGGCGCCCGCATGGGACGAGGCCGGTTACCTGCTCTACTGTCCCTGCATGGGTGAGGCCCTCCCTCCGCGGCCGGCCCAGTGGAGCCCCCCCGGTAGAGTCCCCGCTCAGCCCCGCTCTCGCCCCTCTTGCAGGCCGGTTCGGGAACCAGGCCGAGCACTTCCTCGGAGCCTTGGCCTTCGCCCGCGCCCTCAACCGGACCCTGGCCGTGCCGCCGTGGATCGAGTACCGCCACCACCGGCCGCCGTACACCAACGTGAGCCCCGCGGGGAGCGGGCCGGGGGGGGGGGGGCGGGAGGGACGGGGGTCCGCACCGCCGGCCCGTGAGTGATGGGGGCCGTGTTCCTGCAGCTGCACGTTCCCTACGCGGAGCTGTTCCAGCTGGAGCCGCTGCGCCGGTACCACCGCGTCGTGGCCCTGGAGCAGTTCATGGCGGAGCTGGCGCCCGCGCACTGGCCGCCGGGCAGGCGGGTGGCCTATTGCTTCGAGGCGGCGGCGCAGCGCAGCGCGGACAAAGCCACTTGTCCCATGAAGGTGAGCACCTCCCGCGGGCCCGGCTGCCCCATCCGGGGCATTGGTGGCTCGGGAATTGAGGCGTTATTCCCCCAGACCTGTGCTGCGTTCCTTGGCTGAGCCAGCCTGCTTTGCTTGGCTGCATAAGTAAGTTTTATCACCTCAGACTTGAGTGTGGCCGTAAGAGCAGAACTGCAGCTTAACCCCTCCTCTCTGCCTGTTTCCCATCTGTGGTCCAGCCCAGCTGGTTTTAAAGCAACTTTAAAACACAAGCTTGGGAGCTGTGGTGGTCTCACTTTTTGAGCAGATTTTGCATTAAATCTTGGTTAAGTTTAAGCTGGTCAAGTCCTTCCTGTGGAGCTGATCTGTGACAAACTGCTGTGTTCTTCCCTTTCCCTCCTGTGACAGAACAGCTCCTCAGCTTGGTGCCCCTCCAGGCTCTGCTGAACAAACACTTGTCTTCCCCTTGCAGGATGGGAACCCGTTTGGCCCCTTCTGGGATCAGTTCCAAGTGAATTTCGATAAGTCTGAGCTCTTCAAGGGAATTTCCTTCAGTCCTGCGTACAAGGACCACTGGATCCAAAGGTAGTGAGAGGATGGAAGAGTGCTCACAGGCACCTCAGGAAAACAGTTATGCTCATCATGGCAAAAAGCCTTTGGGGGAAAGACTGAAGTGATTAGTGGTATGATTAAACATCTTCATGCCTTTTCCAGTACGTATTCCCATGGCATGCTCTTCTTTGGGCAGTGCTATCAGTAAGTTTAGGTGGAGTAGCTCTGAGCTGGGGTGAAAACACAAGCTCAGCTCTATGAGCTGTGTGAGAGTCTGCGTGTCAAAGGTAAGGCCTGAGGTAAACCATAGGACCTGTTTCCTTCAGTGGTATGTTCAGATGGCAAAACAGTTCAAATGGACCTAAATTTGAAGCAGGAGGTGCTGCATGTTCCAGGGGTTCATAGTTCCTGTCCAACCATGACAGTAGTTGTGCTAGGGATGCAGGCAGCCTTGTGTCATGGTGCAGACCACTGGTTTGGTTTTATTCCTTAGGTTTCCCCCCTCTGAGCACCCTGTACTCGCCCTACCCGGAGCTCCAGCCCAGTTCCCAGTCTTAGAGGAGCACCGGCCGCTCCACAAGTACATGGTGTGGTCCGATAAGATGGTGATGAAAGGAGACTCCTACATTCAGTCCCTGCTGCTCCGGCCCTACGTGGGAATTCACCTGAGGATCGGCTCGGACTGGGTATGGATCCTGTGCTGCTGTGACCACGGGGAACGCCCTGTGGGAAGAGCTGCCTGAGGAGGATGTGCTCTGGGAGCCACAGCCTGGGCCGTGCTGCATTAATGTTCTGTGCATTAGCAGTGCCATCAGGATTCCTCCTTCCAGTGGGCTGTAACGCTGCTGGTGGAGCTGGGGGTGCAGCTTCCTCACATTTGCCACTCAAACGTGGTGTTTTCTCCTCTTCCCACAGAAAAACGCTTGCAACATGCTGAAGGATGGGACGGCTGGGCCCCACTTCATGGCTTCCCCACAGTGTGTGGGCTACGACCGGAGCACCGCAGCACCTCTCACCATGGACATGTGCCTCCCCGACCTCACGGAGATCAAGCGTGCCCTCACGCTCTGGGTGAAGAAGACAGAAGCTAAATCTGTTTACATCGCTACTGATTCAGAGCCCTACACAAGAGAAATAGAGCAGTTCTTCCAGGGAAAGGTGGGTGGACCCCCACAGCTGGGGGGCTTTAATAAACCCACCCTTGGATCCTGGCCCTTCACTGCTGTGGACAGCAGGCAGGGGGTTGTGTGATGTGTTATTCCCAGGCACATACTGACATCTCAGAGTGAATTCTGTTCATAGCAAGAAAAATGAGACTGTGAAACTTCCTTTCCTAGAGGTTGAAGAGCATTGTTCTGCATGTAGGAAATTTCTCCTTGTAAAAGACTTTGGTTAAATAAACCAAAATGATTTTCAGAAATGTTTTGACATTCATAAATGAATTCTAGGTCAACTTTAGGGAGAATCCACTCTCTTGTATCTTCCCATTACTAATATTATGCCAAAGTGTTTTGGTTGTAATCATAGCTGACTGGAGTCCTCTGTGTTCCTCCTTTCTCTGCAGGTGAAGGTTGTGAGCTTGCAGCCAGAGGTGCCTCAGGTTGATCTGTACATTCTTGGCCAGTCCGATCACTTCATCGGGAACTGCGTCTCCTCCTTTACAGCCTTTGTGAAAAGGGAGCGAGATGTGCATGGAAAACCCTCCTCGTTCTTTGGCATGGATCACCCGCCGAGGTTACGGGATGAGTTCTGACTGCAACTGGAACGGGCTCCGTGGTTCTCAGGGTGCTGAGCTCGGTGCCTTGCCTGGGTGCTGCTGGTGCTCTCCTGCGTGCAGGGCACGCTGCGGGGCTGCTGCACCCTCTGCTCCTCCTTGCAGTTGCTTCCAGACTGTTCTGTCTGGCTTCTCCTGGATTTCCAGTGGGAGGGCAGACAGAAAAGGGATTTTAAATCACATAGTTTGTAGGAGACTTATCAGTTCGATGTAGTTTTTATGATGTAGTTAACAGAGCAGTCTGGCCTTGCTCTTCAGGGCTCACCAGCACGCATGGTGAAGCAGCTGCTCAGGTCGCTGCTGCTCCAGTATTTTATTCCGTTAATCTTTCCAGGAGATGTTGTGAAGCTCCTCTCCAAAACGGACCAGAACTTCTTTTTAACCGCAGAGTATTGCCAGGCACATCCCAGTCCCTGGAGAGTGGGCACAGGACAAAGCTTACGACTGGAGATGAGCTCTGGGTTTTACCGAGGACTGCGGTGGCCTCGCTAGCCCCATGTCACTGCAGTGCCTCTGTTCCCATTCCCCTGTCAAAAGGGATGTCACAGCCATGCGTGGTGGTGCTGGGGGCACCTGCAGACAGAGAACTGTGTTTTGACATGGCAGCTGCTCAGCCTGCCTCTGTATTGAACTGGGGAGAAGGTGTTGGCAGAGACCTGGCTGGGAGAGCTTCCATAGCCAGCTGACTCCCATAGCTGTTGGCAGGTGGAGATCCATGGTCAGAGTGAAGCTGGGTTTGAGCTGGGACTTGCAGAGTAGCTGTAGCGGGGTTGGTGAAGCTTGTACCTTGATCTGGGGTAATGGTTTTGATGTTCTTGGTTTTGTTCTTTGTAAAGTAGCCCCCCTGACACAGCCCTGTCTGGGAGGGCTGTGGGCAGTGTTCACTGATGGGGAACCCCTAGGTTTGGCCTGGTTATATGTCAGTGTTGGTAGCACCCATGACCCCAATGTGGTGAGACTCAGCCAACACCTTTGGTGCTCCTGTAGCTTTATTGTGGGTCCAGATGCTGAGCACAGACATTGCTGTTCCTTTCTCAATGCTGCTGAGGTGAGTCTGTGGTGCCAGTGCTCTGTGCCCTCACAGGGGGTGACCCTCTATGTCCTTTGGGTGCGGGGTTGTTTCCTCCTTGGAAATGGTTCCTGGGCTTTGGAGGGATCTGAAGGCTCGAGGGGGTGAACGAGGAGGTCTTGGAGGCAGCAGAGGCTCTTTTCACTTTGTCCTCTGGGTGGGTTTGGGCACTAGGTGTCCTTGGGGCTTCTCTCAGCTCTTGTCATCATGGTTGGTGCCTTCGGGGCTACTTTGCCTCCGTACAGGGCCGGGGCCGCCCTTGCATGTGTGTGGGGGGAAACCAGGGTTCCTAGGGGAAATATTTGGGGTTTTTTAGATTAAAAGAAAAAGGGTATTTTTTGTACCAATAAAGCCTTGATTTTGTATTCACTGCTGTGCCCCGCACTTCCTCCATCCGCAGGGCTGGCACCGGGGGGGCATTCCGGGGGTGATGCCGGTCCCTTTGTCCCGGTCCCTTTGTCCCGGCGCCATCCGGGCCCGGCGGGAGGCGGCGCCCGGGGCCGGTCGCTAGGGAAGGGGCGGCGTGGGGGCGGCCGCGCGTGTTGCTAAGGAAGTGCGTCAGAGCCGGGGGGCGGAGCCACGCCGCCGCTTCCGGCGCGGCGGGAGGAGGCGGCCGGGCGGCTCCATGGTGACGGCGCAGGTGAGTCTGGCCCGGCCCGGCTCGGCCCGTGTCGGGGGGCGGCGGGGCCCGCACCGAGCAGCCGCCGTGTCCCGGTGTGCCGCGGCTGTGACAGCCCCGCGCGCCCGCTGCCGAGCGGCCGCCGCCGTGTGCTCGGCCTCGCCCGCGGGGGAGGCGGCGGGGCCTGCCCGTTACCGGGATGCCTGGGGCGAGGCCGCGGGCGGGTGGTCCCCGGTCCCTGCGCCCAGCGTGGGCTTGGCCCGCGGTCCCCCACCCTCGGGCTGGGTGTCCTGGTGCCGCCGGGGCCCTGTCCTGCTCTGCCCGCTGTGGCGGCGGTGGGTGATGCTCGGGTGAACCGGTAACCAGGCACGGACTCAGGGATCCAGTACCTCCCCCGCCGCCCCCCGGGGCAGGGCGCACCCGTGGGTGCAGCACCGAGGTGACCGCGGGCACTGAGTGAAATCAGGGCGGCTCCAGCAGCAGCAGCGGGGGTCTGGGGTGTGCTGGGCAGGGAGGGGAGAGGGAAACAGCAGCGGAAGAAGGGACTGCTGGGGAAGGAGTAAGACGCAAGCGGTGAAGGCAGGACATCGTGAACCCAGGATATGTGCAAGGTTTAAACTACAGGAAATCAACAGCTGTTGAAGGGGTACCTGGGGATGTGCAGGGACGGGAGGGGAGGGTTTAGGTACGGCACTGTGGAAATCTGCCAGGGATCTTCCAGTGGAACCAGGGAACAGAGGGGCTTTGGAGGCAGGAGGGTGAGTGAGGGGTGCCTGGGGTGAGTGCAGTGTGCCTGGGGCATGGCCAGCTCAGCCAGACGTGACACAGTTACCCCTGCTTACCTCTGGGTGTGGCGGGGTTTGGTGTTCGAGGCACAACGTTGTGACTTGTGCTTTAATTTCTGTCCATCCTCTCTTGGTCATCTGGAGCACATCTTCAGATGCATTCATCTCAAGCTTGACCTTGACTCACAGGGACCTGGCCCAGGTTACTTTAGGCTGGAGTAATGTCCTGAGCAAAGTTCTCTCCACATAGCAGAGGAACCGATGGCCCAGTGGCCATCCCAGTTCCACTGCCTCTTCCTGTCCGGCTGTGCCAGGCAGCTCCAACCTTGGAGTTTCTGGGGAATATGAACACCACCGACTAATTGAGTTCATTTTCCAGTTACCCAGTTGAGTGAGTCTGAGAAGAAACAGCATTTGTTGTGCTTCCAGGAGACTTCGCAGCAGTAGCTACAGTAATTGGAGGTGGTTCCTCATGGCTTGTTCTGAAACCAGCCCAAATCAGGAAGATAAGTTCTTTGTGACTGTAAAAAGGTACTTACAAGTGCAATGAGGAAAGGAGTTAGAGGATTAGCAAGCTCATGTTGATGAGATCTAACACCCAGAAGAACAGCAAATTCACAGTGCAAGTTTTGTTCCATGTACTCCTGTCCAAAACCAGTCTGGGTGAGGACTAACTTGGTTCTGATCATTTAGGGTTGGTCACAGTTGATTATAAAAGTGGTACTGTTCATCAAAACTGTTTTTTGGGTATTAATAACATAAAATAAATGAAGGCTCTGCTCTGCAGAATTGATGCCTCATTGAGTATTTGGCAATGCAGGTAAATGAAGCAGGGTTGTTACAGGAGCTTGTCCTATAAAATTGTCTCTTGTGCATGGGAGCTGCAGGAATATCTCCAGTAGATACAGAAGGAGAAATGTGTGTTGTGTTCAGCCGCTTGTGCTGAGTAGAGGGGGAGCTGCTCTTTGTGATTCTGTAAGACTTGTTCCCATTCCATGTGTCCTTTCTGTGCTGGTGTTCTGGAATATGTGTTCTGTGGGGGCCAGATAGCACAGTCACCCTTATTTGGGGCTGGAAATTGGGGGGCAAATGTTAGTATTCCATAGCAATCCGAAATTCCAGTAGTGGTTTGAATTCACTGGGCAGGTTGTGAAGTGCTGCTTCTAGATGATTGTCCCACTTGGTCAGTTCAGTGCATGTGCCTCATCTTCCTCCTGATAGCTACTATGCTATTCCTGGGAATAATGAGGAGCCAGGCGCTTCCCCTCACAAACCAGGGAAATTCCAGAGGCCCCAGTGAGGTTTCTGGACAACTCTGAAGCGTGTTTATGTGTTATTCCCACATTGGGTTTTGTAGTACAGGCTGGCAGTCGGATCTTGGGCCAGAAATGTTACGTTTCCTTTCCCAGTGCTCCAGCTCTGCTCCTGGAGTCCTCTGCCCCCTTCCTGGAGAAGCTCCTGAGAGGTGCAGTTACTGAGTAAAGAACAAGTAGACAAAATCCACGGGTAGTAGAACAGTGAGAACGTCCTGAGGAGGCCGGAGCTGGTGCCTGCCTGGGGGGGTTCAGGGGGTGTTGATCTCACGTTAGTTCCACTTGGAAGAAGCATCTCGGAGCTCTCCCTGAAAGATAATTTGGAAAGGAATTAGAAATCCTGTGGCATTCCACAAGCTGTGCCGCTCGGATCTTCCTTGCAGTCACTTTAGCAGGAGCAGTCTTTGTGTTCTCTTGTAAATGGCAGCTGCTTGTGCTAATGGCTGGGGGAGGCAACAGCGTGTACCCAGAGTCAGGAAGGACTCAGATCTGTGAGCTGGGTTTATGCAACCTGAATTTAGATGGATGCTGAATCCTGTAAACCTGATCCAGCAGGAACACTGGAGCAGGAGCCTGGGGGGTTTCAGTAGGTGCTTGGACAGAGCTGGCTTTGGTGGGAAACCCTGGTCAAAGTATGCCAGAGGCAAAAATAACAGCAGAGATCTGTGAGAGGAGTTGTGCTTGAAATAGCTAAAGCAGCCTTGGTTGTCTTGACTTCCCCTGTAACAACAGGACCACAAGGAGGACTGAGAAGGACACTCATGCTCCATTGCAGGATCCTTTCACAGAGGGCAGCCCCATCCAAAGAGGAATGTGAGCTCCAAGGCCTGAGGCTTTATAGAACTCTTGTAAGAAGTGATATGAAAGGAGCTTAAACTCACCTTCAGAAGGGCAAATCCTGGCAGGTGTCTGCCTCAAGATCCTCTGGTTACTTGAGCATTAGATGAGGCATAATGTAGATGACTCCACCTTCATAGCTTTTCCTCCTGCTCCCTGCTGAACACAGGCGGGAATGCTGCTCCCTGCTGAGCACAGGCGGGAATGCTGCTGCCTGGAGTCAGTGTGCAGGCGCTGCTGGAATAAAAAATACAAATGAAAGGTCAGCATTGACTGGCAAGTTTGGAATTGGAACAGCGGATGAGGAGGTGTGGGGCTGTGGGTGCACTGACAGCAGCCATCCAGCGTTGGGGCACAGGACCACAGTGATATCAGTGTCTCTGTTACAACTCTTTTCACTCAATTCTGCACAGAAAGGAAAGGTGATGTCAGTTTTCCCAAGTGTGGAAGTGCAGAATATCCAGGGGATGTGATGCCTGGAAGTGGGCAAACTATTTAATGATTTTATCTTGGATCCACACAGTTGCTGCATTAAAGATGTGCTATTCTGTAAACAGCTTCTAGAAAGTGACTTT